TAATAAACCCATTAAAAAATGCACTCTTAACATCCATTTGATATAATTTAAATTTCATCAATGATGCATAAGCAAGAAGTAGGCGTATAGCCTCTAACTTGGCAACAGGAGCATAAGTTTCATCATAATCAATACCTTCCTCCTGACAGTAACCTTTGGCAACAAGTCTGACTTTATTCTTTGTTATGTTTCCATCTTCATCAAGTTTATTTCTAAATACCCATTTAGTTCTAATTACTTGATGTAATTCTTCTCTTGGAATTAATTCCCACACTTGATTACTTTCAAATTGGTTAAGTTCCTCTTGCATAGCTATGCACCATTGGTCATCTTTAAGCGTTTCCTCAACATTTTTGGGTTCTATCACTACAAAAAAATTGTGTATTACCGACAGATATTTACCGACTGATTTGTAATCATCGGAAAATAATTATTACCGACGGATATAAAATATTTGTGGAATTTGATCTTACCGAGCGGATATATCCGTCGGTAAAATAATAATTAGTTACAGACGGATATATCCATCGATAAATCCGTCGGTAAATTAACAATTAGTAAATATTCACCTAATTAAAAAATTAAATATTTTTTATTTAATAATTTAATTTAATCATAATTAGATTAATTTATAATAATTTCTTAAATTAAATAATTTTAAAAAATAAATATTTAATTATATATAAATATATAAAAATATTTAATTATATATAAATATATAAATATATAAATATATAAATATATAAATATATAAATATATAAATATATAAATATTTAAATATTTAAATATATAAATATATAAATATATAAATATATAAATATATAAATATATAAATATATAAATATATAAATATATAAATATATAAATATATAAATATATAAATATATAAATATATAAATATATAAATATATAAATATATAAATATATAAATATATAAATATATAAATATATAAATATATAAATATATAAATATATAAATATATAAATATATAAATATATAAATATATAAATATATAAATATATAAATATATAAATATATAAATATATTTGTATATAAATATAATTTATTTGTAAATTATTATCAAAAAATTCTGGTAGCTTAGTGGTTAGAGTATCAGCCTCTAATTTTAAGGTACTTGGGTTCGAATCCTGCCAATTACAATTCTCTTAATCTAATAATAATTGAAGCCTATAAAAATGTAATAGGGGAAAATAATTAATAATAAATAATAAAAATATTACCAACAGATTCTTGTCCGTCGGTAATTTCGTAAAACATTTAGCGACGGATATATCCGTCGGTAATTACCGACGGACTATTAAATCCATCGAGTAATATTTACCGATAACCAAATTTCCAACGGATTTTGACCGTTGGTAATATTAAAATTTCTTGTAGTGTATCCGTGACACAAAAGCTACAGACATGCAGAAATTAGTCATATTTCTAGTTCTTACCCCTTTTGAGATATCACCAATAATATTTTCCATTGAAATTCCTCTTGATGATTGCCATTCGTTTGTTAATTCAGGTGTTTGAGAAGGCTCATTTTCTTCCAAATACAATTCATCAAGAGCCTCTCTTATGTATTCATCATCACCTGCAAGTTCTTTATTTGACTTAAGAGGATTTCCCCCAAGGTCTACAATTTTATCAAAAGTAACATGTATAGATTCTTCAACATTCAAGGTTCTTCTATTAAACACTCGATAAGCTTTGCTAGTTAATGAATAACCTAAGAAAATGCCCTCATCGGCTTTTGAGTCAAATTTTCCTAAGTTGTCCTTTCCATTATTTAACACAAAGCACTTACATCCAAATATTTTCAAATGAGCAACATTATGCTTGCTACCATTTAACAATTCATAGGGACTTGATTTTATAATTGGCCTAATGAGCATTCTATTCAAAACATAACATGCAGTACTAACTGCATCAGCCCAAAAGTATTTAGGAACATTCAATTCATTTAGCATTGTTCTAGCAAGCTCCTCTAGTGACCTATTTTTCCTTTCAACTACACCATTTTGTTGGGGAGTCCTAGGAGCAGAAAAGTTATGCAATATTCCTTTTTCCTAACAATAATTTTCAAACTTTTCATTTTGAAACTTACCACCATGGTCACTTCTTGAAACTTTAATTCTTAAGTCTTTCTCATTTTGAATTTTCTTTGCAAACTTTCTAAAGACCTTAAAAACTTCACTTTTCATTGTTAAGAAAAATGTCCAAGTATATCTAGAATAATCATCAGCAATCACAAGACCATAATAATTTCCACCAAAGCTTTTTATCCTAGAAGGACCAAATAAGTCTAAATGTAATAATTCTAACGGTTTTGATGTGGAAATGACACTCTTTGATTTAAATGATGATTTTACTTGTTTACCTTTTGACATGCATCACATAACCTATCTTTTTCAAACTTTAACTTAGGTAAACCAACAACTAAGTCTTTTGATATCAATTTATTTAAATGATGCATATTTATATGAGCTGCTCTCTTATGCCATAACCAAGGGTTCTCTTCCTTAGCAACTAAACATGTTATACTAGAATCATGTATACAATCCAAATCAACCAAGTATATGTTATTATGCCTAATCCCTTTTAATGCTACATTTTCGGAATCTATCAAATGTATGGTGCAAAATTTACTTTCAAAGATTACCTTAAATCCTTTGTCACATAGTTGACTTATGCTAAGGAGATTATGCTTTATCCCATCAACAAGAAGCACATCCTTAATCTCCAACGTGTTTGCACCACCTATATTTCCAATTCCAAGAATCTTTCCTTTGTTGTTGTCCCCATAAGTTACATATCCTTGTTCTTTAGCTTTGAAACTCACAAATTTCGTTTTATCGCCGGTCATATGTTTTGAGCATCCGCTATCAAGATACCACATAGACTTCTTTGATTTGGAAGTTTCCTACAAAACAAGAACATAGTAAACTTAGGTCCCCATAACTTTTGGGTCCTTGGGGTTAGAGATAAACAAATTATTTAACAATAGGAACCCAAATGTATTTTCCTTTAGGAACACCAAAATGTTTTATTTTACATCTATTTGAAGTTTGACCTTGTTTCATACAATAAAAACATGCTTTAGATGTAGCTTTTGAATATGATGTATTTCTAACAATAGATGCTCTAGTTCCTTTTTCTACCCATACTTGGCACCAAAAGAAGAAATTATTTAAGGATGCCCATTATTTTGTATGGGATGATCCTTACATTTTCAAGATAGGAAGTGATAATTTGTTGAGAAGGTGTGTGACAAGCAAGGAAGCCAAGAATATTCTGTGGCATTGCCATAGTTCTCCTTATGGGGGTCATATTAATGGAGTTAGAACTGCTACAAAAGTTCTCCAATCTGGTTTTTTCTGGCCTTCCTTATTTAAAGATGCGCACAACTTTGCACAACAATGTATTAATTGTCAGAAAACAGGGAGTATTTTAAGCATAAATGAGATGCCTTTGAATATCATGTTGGAAGTTGAAATATTTGACTGCCGAGGAATTGATTTTGCAGGACCTTTTCCATCATCATTCTCTAAAGAGTACATCTTGGTAGTAGTAGATTATGTGTCAAAGTGGGTGAAAGTAGTAGCTACTGTAAAAGCTGATGCCAAAACTGTGATAAAATTTTTAAAGAAAAATATATTATGTAGATTTGGCACTCCCAGAGTTTTAATCAGTGATGGAAGATCACATTTCTACAATATTCAACTTCAGAAATGTTTAGAGCATTATGGGGTCAGACATAAAGTTGCATCACCTTATCATCCACAAAGTAATGGGCAAGCAGAAGTTTCAAACAGAGAAATCAAAAGAATATTAGAAAAGATTGTTTCATCTTCAAGAAAGGATTGGTCAATAAAGTTAGATGATGCGCTTTGGGCTTATAGGACTGCATATAAAGTTCCTACTGGGTTATCCCCTTTTCAACTTGCTTATGGTAAGTCATGTCATCTTCCAGTGGAAATGGAGCATAAAGCATATTGGGCATTAAAATTTTTAAATTTTGACCCAAAAGCTTCAGCAGAGCAAAGAAAAATTCAAATGCATGAATTAGAAGAAATGAGACTTAATGCATATGAATCATCCAAGTTATACAAGGAGAAAGTTAAGGCATATCATGATAAGAAGATTTTGAAAAGAGATTTTCATCCAGGCCAGTTAGTTTTACTATTTAATTTAAGACTAAGAATTTTTCCTGGGAAACTGAAATCTAAATGGTCAAGTCCATTTGTAGTAAGATTCGTTAGGCCTTATGGTGTTGTGGAATTAGAAGATCCAGCAACAGGAAGAATATGGACAGTTAATGGGCAGAGAATTAAGGCATATTTGGGAGATGCAGTGGATAAGCTTCACCTCATTATCTACTTAGATAATCCTTAAAACAAGCAGGCGTCGAGCTGAAGACATTAAACAAGTGCTCCTGGGAGGCAACCCAATGTTTTATCTTTAAACTCTTTCTTTTTGCTTTTGAGTTGTTAATTATTGGATTGCATTTGAATTTCATGTTCCAAGTCAAAATTCACATAACATTCGCTCAAGCAACACAAGTTTCGCTCAAGCGACACAAGTTTCACTCAAGCAAATGTTAGTTATTTCTCTCTGTTTTTCTTCGCTCAAACGAAATTGTTTTTACGCACATTCGCTCAAGCGACTCTAGTTTCGCTCAAGCGAATGTTAGTTGTTTCTCTCTATTTTTGGTCGCTCAAGCGAATAATAGATACACTGATTTTCGCTTGAGCGAAAATGCCCAGATCTGGTTTTTTAAAACACGTGGAGGGGGCCAGTTTTCATTTCACACAACTCTCTCTCGAAAACCCACTCTTCCCCAAACAATTTTCTCACTAATCCAAG